ACATAATCTTAAACCTTCAGCTTCTTTTTTAATCATGTTCACTCAGATAGTTATTTGTCCATTCATCGCCGTCGTGTGGCTTGTTTTCTTTGACCAGATGAAATATATTTACTTAGAAATCGACCTTATAAAGGAGAATGCGTCTAAGTATTCATACCCTAATTGTTCGTCCATAAATGACTAGAATTAACCAGTCATAAACACTGTCTATTCTGCTTCTCACCATTTCCTTCTTCTCTCTTTTTCAGTACTTTCTTGGTGTACCACCGAAAACATTGTAGAACGTACGGCTTTGTTCCGCGTCGTCGGGAACCACCACCTAGAAGCACAAACTAATACGTTCACAACCCAGATATTTTAGAAAAAGGGTGATCATCATCTTGTTCTACTTTGCAGGAGCAACGGTTTTCGTAACTTTAAACAAATTGATGTTAATAATAGATTGTCCAGTTCTTCATGAACAGGCACCGTAAAACAATTCAGGTCAATTGAAGACGTAAGGAATGGAACTATATCGAAAATGTGAGTGGGATTTCAGGAAGAAAGGACAAGAAGAAAGCAATTAACAACAGTCGAAGAAGAGCAAAGAAAGTCAAGGCAATGATCAAATACATAGTGCCAATCGGGAGGATGAAAAGAGGCATTAGAACTGACATGAAGAAATACGTGAAAGACCTAACAATGACAGCGGAAATAGGTGCAAGAGAAGGGGATGTGAGACAAATACATGATACAACAAAAAGCAGGCGGGAAAACACAGTAAACAAGAGCGACCAGTCAAGATCAATGACGAGACAAGCCCTTACTTGGAAAAGAAAGTAGGAAATAGGAAGACCAAGGAACAGATTGCGTCTGAAATTGGAGATAGACTTCAAAGGAATGGTTAGGAATTGGAAAAAAACTGGGAATGGGATTCTAGGACAGAGTTGCTTGGGGAATCCTGTTGGGCAGTCTATTCTCTCACGTGAGATAACAGGAGTACGTAACTAAGTAAGTAAATAGGTAATTAACTTTTACAAAAAATGTTAATTCCATGACATCAGATGACACATTCGAAGGACGTCCGGTAGATGTAGTGACTCAGTTTTTTCTCTTATCTATTTAGAAAGTGTAAAATCAAAGGAATCACGCGACGAACAAATCATTTTAATGTTCTCAGTTATTTTGTATACCTTTATGGATTTATCCCCATTAATTCCTAAATTGTATAATGTTCATTTTCGTATTTTCTCAAGTTTTCTTTCAAACATGTTTTCCTTCTATCTGTGTTGTTCTATTTGTGTCCGTCCGTATATTTTATTCATCTATTTTTTATATTTACTCGCTAAAGTTAACGATTTGTCTCAAGCCATTTCCTTTTGGTTCTTCTTATTTGAAAACAGCCAAAACAGAGACAGAGAAATCTGAGTTCATTATATTTTATGGTTTTGCTTCAACCTTATTGTTAGTGATTAAATTCACCTGTTATTTTGTCAAGTTTTTTACGCGATCTTTACTAAACTAGTTGTTATTTTATCTACGTCAAATTATGTTTCCATTCATCTATGTTTTCACTAGCTCAATTTTTAAAACTTATGTAGATTCCTCAGACCCTCTTAAATCATGGAGTAACTCATCTCATTAGTCCCCAAACTCCATAGAATAACTAGGTCACAACCTCGATGTTTTTAAGTTTTATCTCCGATTAACCTCGCATATACTCATTCGTACATGCATATAATTAATACCGATATTTGTAATTTCTGTTCTTCCAATCACCAATGTCAATTACTTCATATTATACTCGATTGTTATACTTTAATATGGATACGGTTTTAAGAAGCTAAAGCGAGACCATGAAATACAGTAAATTCATTTTAATTCCCTTCAAGTGTTGTTTTGACTTTTTTTCAAATTCATAATTAGTAACAGATGTACAAAATTTTCGAAAAACGGATCCATGATTATTTGCTAGTATTTGAGTGCTTGAAAAATATTATTTCAACCTAATTTCGTCCTTGGCTTTTTAATTACGCAGTTGTCCGAATAGGGTCAACCGAGTTATTGTATATTAAATCATATATTAAAATTGTTTTTCAGCAAAGCCAACGAAGTATTCAAGAGTTACTGTTATCTAATACTAAAATATACAGTAACTTGTTTGCTCATTAGCAAGTACATTGTTATAACTTAATGGTTCAGATGATTTTAGTCACTTAGTTAGTGCTTATGAAACTCTACTATAAAGTCAATGGTTAACTTGTAAGTATTCAGTTATATTCATTAGCCTTTACTATGTATATGTTATGTACATCATAAATGACATAAAATTTATATGATTAGAGACAACTTCACTGATAAATGACCGTTATTATTCACATATATATCTCTTAGTCGTATTATAAGTATCATCTTGCATGCTTGTCAATAATTTATCCTCTGATCAATAGTAAATTGATATAATTCAACCTAATGTTTTCAAAGTTTTTCAATCGAAAGTTTGGTATTTTCTTTGTATAAGTAGTAGGCAAAAAGAATTCAAAAGAAATGTGATATTACTTAGAATCATCAATGACGTTTTATTTGAGATTCATGAAAATATTAATGATATAAAAAACTGGTTAGTAGAAGAATCTAATGAACAAAATGCAAAGGACATTTTGTTTTTATATGTTTGTGCCAGTTTACAAGGAATTTATAATTCACTTTAGCTATCACATATTTTATTATTATAGAAATGTAACCAACATGTTATTTCTGTCAAGATGCTTATATTGTAACCACTTTTCGAAACGCTATACCTTCTAAGCTCGATAGTTTCATTACAAAGTACATCAGTTTTCGTTCAAGATGATGTTATAATTGTTTATACTCTTGTTGGTCATTATGCAACTAGCATAATCTGATTTGGATGGTTTGGTCGTGAAGTTTTCATCGTTCTTCTGGACGACATCATCAGCACAAACTTCAGATAGAAGTCTATCTTAAGAATGATGAAAGCTCCACGACTAAATCATTCAGCTCAGAGAACAAAACTCTATCAAAATCATTCACCTGAGCTACAAATTTTCTCCGCCATTTCATAATCTTCATTATTATTTATTATGTTTTGTTGAAGAATATTTATTATCAGATCATTAGTTTATTTTTATAAAAATAAAAAAAACAAAATATCCATTTTACTAATTTCGATCTTACTGTAACTTTATTATTGATTAAATTTCATGAAATATTTTGTAAAATAAATGATAGTCTACATTATCATTCTTCACTATTATTATTTAAACATGTATAGAATTTAAATTCACACCATAACAATATCTCTCATAATATACACTTTATTTCTATTGTCTTATCTACGTGATATTTGGATACATTATATAAAGTTAATTTAATATTATCAATTGAACCTTATGTATACAAAACCACTATACTTTAAATACCCAACTCTTCAGGAGTCCATACAAAATAATAGACAAACATAGAGACTAAATTGATCAGTTAACTGAATGTATAAAAACAAAAAAAAAAAAACAGAAAAAAAACATAACTATTTGATAATGGTTAGAAAATGTGATTCATAATTAACTTGATTATTGATTTATTTCATGAGTAAATATGATAATAAATAATGCAATTTCTTTTCTAAAAATTTGTACTTCAAATTTTTATCGATAGTAATAAATTTATTCTCACTCTCTCTCTCTCCCTCTCTTATCCTCCTCTTTTACTATCGACAAACATACAAACATACACACTCAACTCAAATAAAAGAAATAAGACAAAACAAAACAAAAACAACTAAATTTTTGCTAAAATCCGATTAGTGCATCTCTGAAATATATTCACAATTGTAACGTGTATTGTATGGTCTTTCTCTATATATAGTTGTATATGTCATTAAAGAAATAATTTGACATCTACCATTATAACATAAGGTATTCATATATATATATAAGTACTATTGTGTTATAACATAACCGCATGTAATGCATATTGACTCTTGAATGATTTATTATTGAAATGATGATTTGGAATTTAAGAATAGGAGCTTTATTAAAATGACAGTTAATGAACAAAAAAGACAATTCATAAGTATATAAATGAATATATGTCAATTTAGTAAAATTATTAAAAAATATTCAATATTATCATTATAAATTCTAACAAACAAACAAACAAATAAATAAATAAACAAACAAACAAATGATACACAACACAAAATCAATATCCAACCATTTTTTTTTCTCAAAAAGAAAGTTTAGAAACAATCTGGGAATGTGTCACTAAAAGAGTGATAAAAATGTAAACAGGTATTAATTGAATCAAAACTATGTTCAACATTATTACTATAGTAATAATAATAATAATAATAATAGTAATCATTATTATTATTGTTATAGGTACTCACGTACACATAGAGACATGAGAGCATATTTTAAAAAAAAATATAAGTAGCTAATAAAAAGCTAAATAATATGAAAGAGACGAAATGTTAATTGAATATAATTTCAATGTTTAATAAGGATATGTAAGTTAGTGATTGATGAATGTCATTCAATTGCTTGTATATTTGAAATTATATTCCTTACATAAACTGAATATATATTTTTTTATTTTTAAAATATATGTATAGTGAATAAAAGATGACTATAGATTATTTAATAGGAATTCACAAGCTATAATATCCTATATTATAAAACTTTCGAAAATGCTATCATAGCAATACGATAAAAAAACCCATACAGTTTATAGTATATGTAATTTATTTGAAAAGATTTTATGAAATATGTTGAGAAATCTCTGAGTAAGAAGAAGAAAAAATGTTATTTCCTAATGAATTTTGTTAGAGGTCTTTTTGTTTAAATCAACTCTCATGATATGTTATATGTGATATGATAGTTATATGCGTTTATAGGATTGTAATAAAATAAAGGAAAGCTACCTGAATTAAAAATACAAATAAAATGAAAGAAAAACGTATTCATAGTCATAAACAATAATCGTAATAATTGAATTGTTTAACGGTATGGTTTAACATAATTTGATGGAAGCATTCCAAATTTTCCAGTTCGTTGAACAGTACCATACATCCAACCTTCGGTAATAGGTTCACCATTCACTATAATATCACCAGATTTGAAAGTCACTTCATCATCTTCTTTAGCTTCATAACCATACTGTGCTACAAAAGTCTATAAAATAAAAACAATATACTTTTATTATGCTTCTCATTCATTCATTGTTTGATTCTATAATGAAATGAATATACATAATTTCGTAGTATATGCATCATAAATAGATATAAAGCTAAATATGAATTTGTAATTTTAAAAAGTGCAGGATACGATAAATGTCTGTTAATTTGTAGCTCATCAGCCTCAAAAAGTTCAAGATGTGTGCACTATGTAGCACTTTCCCTTACTTTTAGTTAGTGAATAATGTATAAAGGAGATTAATTTTCATTGAGAATTTCATTTCAAGCTCTAATTCACAATTTGGCTATTTTTTCATCCGGCAGGTTAGAACACGCTACAGCAGCGTGTTAAAAAAAGATATATGTAGGTACTGAAATGAAGTCTTCAATGAAAATTACACTCATATCTGTAGTACTAACACGTTATATGAACGTAAAATACTTGAAAATACTAGATATCACACTTTTATTGAACACTAAACAGGATGGTTATCCTCAGCCGTGTTAAAATGTTCAGTCTTATTCCAGGATATTGATAATGAAAACTTACTTTGACTGCGAAAACCATGACTTTCATGCTTGGATATGTTAACGTTAATATGTGTATAACTGAATTTCAATTTTATTATCAGCTAACTAATGTTAAGATACAAATTGTCGTTTGATATTATTGATGATATTAATACAATCAGATTTGTAGTAAATTAATATACATATACGTTCTCATTTGTTTATAAAAATATGTGATTCGATAAGTGATTTAGAAATTTATACACTAGAGTTTTAACCATAAGTACAGATTATTAGAAAGAATGATCGACAGTTTATTTTGGTCAATAATGAATTTCTGAAAACAGCAGGACACTGCTAGCTTTCTAATGAGTATGTGTGCCAGTTGTAAGCTGATAGCATTACATTTATAATGGAATTATTTAGTTAAAATCAAAATATCAATGAAAGTCATAATTATAATATAAATAACTAAAATATTATAACATACCCCACCAAATCCTGAATTTTGGTGTGCATGACCATGAAAGCTATCATGAAAAAATAAAAAAAGGATTACATTTTTAACAATACTTAAATATTCTTAATCATTGTGAAACAGAATATGATGCAATAAAATTTTTATTACACAGATAAATGAACTAAAGCATCCTAGGTAACAATTGTTGGGTAAATTATGATTATGGTATGAAGTCATTGGTGGTTAAATGTAGTGGAGAGAAAACCCTAGATCTAAGTTCATGATAATTGGCACTGGTTAGTAAGGGGTAAATGTAACCACTAAATAACTGATTCACATGAGAGTATTCAAACACGTCACCCAGTGTAAGACTCAGACACGGGATGATTTAGCTGATCAGGTTTCAAATGGTCTCCTGTACGGCCAAGAAAAAGCCAACATCGCATATATGTTCGAATCATCACAATAATACCTTTTGGTAGAATGAATTGGATTTATTGTGTGACTTTTTTACAGTGGAATTTTCTTAATGGCTTTAGGGGGAATAATAAGGAGTTATCGAAATAGGTTTAATATTTAGAACAAGCTTGATATATTAAGCAAAGTATATTAATCAGGGGTGTGCTAATTTATCAATTATCACTGAAGTTTTAAAAAGCTGTTGGCTAAAACTATCTATATGACAAAGGTTGACAAGTCATATGTTCAGAGAATGTATAGACAGGTGAAGCTGACAAAAGATCATTAATAATGTCATCACAACATACTTCTCTAACACCTTCGGACCGACTATACAGCTCACTTCCACATGAACTGAATGTTGATAATGTCGTCCAAAAAAGACAACCAAAGCTTCATTACCAAACTATTCGGCTTATAAGACATAAGTCAAATAAATATATGAAAAACAAAGAAACTATTATATTCTGACAAAGAATAAATGAGTGGCAACTGCTGGGAATTATTTATGGACTGTTGTTACATATAGTTCTATAGAATGACTATTAAGTGACTATTTTATATGTATATTCATCTTCCTTTTATTATACGTTTCCATTTGACCCACTGATTACCATTATACGACTTAATATTCCTAACTTACTCCTGACTTAATAGTTATAGTCTCTCTCACACACAGCCACTTTTGGTAATTGTGATTTTCTATTTTATGGTATGATGCAGTGTGATTTGCTTGTATATAAACTACGGATTTTTCAAATACATGATCCATATAGTGGAGGTTGATATTGATGTTCTGGGCTGAACGAGCTGGGATAGGCCGGAAAAGCCAATAAGAACTCAGAGTAGACTCTAAGCTTCTCAAACTGGTCAACACGTCACTAGTTTGATACAATCGCAAGGTCATAAAAGTCTGTGTTTTAATTGGCTATAAAGTCACGTGACAGTTAACATGAAAAGAGTCATAACAGAAATAATTGACTTACTTTAGGTTAACCGTCGAACCTCTAGGTATATTAATAGTTTCTGTAGAACCTACATTGCCACCAGCAGTGTTATTGTTAGTTCCAGGAGGAAAACCTGGAGAAAGCATTAGTGGTGTAGGAAGAAAGAAAAAAAATATATATATATAGTATACTAACTATTGGTACTAGGGAATTTTCAAACTAGTGAGACCATGAAACTTACAATGTGCAAGATAATAAAAATTGGAGCTTGTAAATATTTAGCGTTTAACATGAGTTAAACGCGATTTCAGTTATGTTGATGTGGAAAAGCATCTATTTATTTCTATGGAATAGATGGTATGCGGCTAGCAGTGGAATACAGGACGTGCATTCCGTTTATTTCAGACTTATTGGTTTTATTTTATTTTCAGATAAATATAATAAATTTTCTGTAAGAATTTAGTTTATTGGAATAGTTGACTCTCTAGGTACATTTCAAGTTAATTATTAGTATGCATAAGTCATTAAATATTGAGAATAATGAAAGAAATTCAATCCAGAACTCCTAAAGTATTGTAAAAAGTATACATTCTTGTAAAAACAATTTTTTTTTACCGAATAACAACTGAAGTGGAGTTAAGCAGTTCATAAAGTTGGTCAAATAATATTAATGAAGATATCTTATTAATTTAGTTGTAGCTTTTGAGATTGTACAAATAAGCTAGCATGAACTCATACTTTTAATGGACCATAAAATCTCTGTATATCGAAAATGTACCATGTTATCGCCCATCTGTTGGTTGCAATTATCGAAAAACTGAAAATCACTTGCTAAAATATGAGGCCAAACATAACCAAATAGCAAATAATTTGTAAGCTACTCGATACATCATTGGCAAAAGCTTCTTTGACAATAATGTTTTTATAGGTATCATTACCATGGTTTGACTTCATACTTTCGAATAAATTGAGCATTGAGTAGATTGTTATAAATAAAATAATATATTCTTAATATTTCAGTAAGTTGGAAAATTAGATTTTCTGACGTTTCGTGACTCAGTACAATCCGCTTGTTCAGGGAATAAATAACTCGAAGAAGTGGCTTACACTGAGTCACGAAACGTCAGGAAATCTAATTTTCCCACTCACTGGAATATTAAAAATATGTTATTTTATTTATAACGTTTTTTATATATGTTAAATCACAAAACGATCTGAGTCAGACCACCATAGAAAATCTGGAAGCAGTGGACGGCCATTTAGTCCTAGCACGGGATCGCTCAGCAGTGCTCATCCGTCTAGCTACGATCAATTCATGACTTACACTATAATACTCTATAATCTATACAAATCCCTCAATATTAATTAAAATGTTTCAAAAAATGATTTTTTAATAAAATTTAAATAACACTTATGAATCTAAAAGTTTTTACATGACTTCATAATGGTTTTAAATAATAGAAGAAGATTATCCAATTAAATGAAGAATCATAATATCTGACATAACTATTTCTTCATTGTTTTATTTCATCATAATCGTTCTTCTCGCAGTTATAGAAAAAACCTACTGATGCTTTGCATTTATTATTACCAGTTGAGCTTTTTTATTCTCTCATGCATGCATTTATTAGTTTAATAAGTAAGTAAATAAAATTTAGTAACACATTGCTTTTGGTGCCTGAATAGTTCTATCAGATAGTAAAGCTGCATAACTGTTGTTATAAGAATACTGGGTTGTAATCTTGTTCTCATGAAGGAAGGCATAACGATAAGTGACCTATCAAGGTATAATTATTATATGAATGCTAGTGAAGAGGATCATTTAATAATTAAAACTCTTAGCGCTCAATCTCAAGCACAAACCCTACTCCATCTATTTCAATATCGACAGAAAATCAATATAAAGTCGTCACATAAATCGTACAATGTAGAATTAAGTAAATAAAAGTTGTGTTTGATGAACTACACCGGGAAATATAATCTGTGGTACTAAAAATATAACTTAGTTTTCTTATTATTAACGTAAACTGAAATAATCAAAAAAACAGGATACGAATGAAATGCATAGTTTCATTATAAATATTGTAAAGTAAATAAAACAGTTTTAATGAAATCTTTCATCAGGTTAAGAAATCATATTTCAACGTTAGATTACATAGTGTTTTATCAGTATTTAAACAACTAAAAAAGCCCACTGATTGATTACGATCAGATTGCGATAATTTACTGACGAATCTTCTCATTTCAATAATGTCACTTAGTATATCTGTCCATTTATATTTGCAAAAGTTTAAAATACCTCAATATATAATTAAGATTCATAGGTGTCACATCATTATTAAAGTGATGTTAATATGTTCGCCAGGTACCAAACAAAAATCAAGTAATATGAGAAAGGATATCGAGAAACGGTAAGGCAAAAATCGATCATATGTAAGAAGTATGAAAGAAAAACTTTTAATCAATGAGCATTTAAAAAAATTGAGGTAATAATGAATACAACATAATAGATTGTAAAAGTAGAGAGGGGATTTTTAGGACAATATGAAATGAAGGAGAAAACGAGTCATTCATGAACGTTCAGATCAAGTGTGAAAAGATGTATTGCCGAAGCTTCTACTGTGAACATGCTCTTGAGTTAAATTGACCTAACCTTGAAAATAGTATTTCTGAAGGTCGATTGCTGGTTAATTAGATATTTGAGAACAGAACTACTGACTGTTTTACATTCATCTGTCAATAATTATCTAGATTTGTGGTCAGTGTTGCTTATTGGAGACAAACATTTGTTTGGATGTTTAACTATAACTAAAACTAAACAGCCTTGTTGGATTAGCTTAAGAAATTTTTTCATGACTTGAATCACAGTCTATCAATATACAATCTTTATCAGTATGATTACACAGTGGTGTAAAATTTTCAAAATCAATATTCTTTAGAATAGATTCATTATTTCTTTGTCTAGAATAATATTGACACTTCCGAAATCAAACCAATAAACGTTCAGGATACTAATATAATTAAAATCAGATTTCAATCACACAATACACCTGTCAATCCATATATTACCTTTTTTTTGTCATACGTATAACATGTGTAAATACCTTTATAGTTGGTTCAAAATACATCTCATAAGCATTTTGGAAATGTGAGATTTTTGTAACATGAATGGATTGTTACTTTCTGTGCATGAAATACGTAATGTGAGAAAAATTGCGAATTTGTTTCTTTAAAAAAATATTTTTTCACTACCTCCTATGGTGACAGTGATTACGCTGAATTTCATTTAAAAAATATTTTACAGAGAAACAATCAATAATATTAGGGGGTTAATAAACATTTTTCAATAAAATATTTAGGTTACTGAAGATGCTTATAAGCTACTTATATTATTAGACAGCATGAAAAAAATATGATTTTGTCTTCCGGCTAAAGTGAACAAATCACTTCCTGGTTTTCAGTGGTTATTTAATAAACAATGGTTGACTACATAAAACTAAAATATTCGACAACATTTATTCTATAATAAAAACAATTCCATATTGCAAGTGAAATTTTAAGACGAATATATATATATATATATATATATATATATATATATATATAAGGCTAGATATCATATTCCATAATTAACTATTCCTACGACATTAGCTTATCGTTTCATGTAAAAAGTGGTCAGAAACACTAAGTTATAATGATTAGTCAGTCCGAGATTAAACCCTGATAAAATAGTTATGACCATCATCAATAGTTATGTGTATCCACAAACACGTAACTAACGTTGATAATCGAATTCAAATTCATGTCATCTAGTGTCATATTCAGAGACGACATCACTCATTTATGTGAATAACGACTTACTATTGGTTATACTGAGATATTCACATAAATTAATCACTGAGAAGTAGAGATGATTGTATTTGTCTACCCTTGACTACCGGTTAACTCTGTTGATAGATATTACTGTCTACATAATCTAATAGAGTAATATATTTCAATTTTTGAATGTTCTAACGCTGTTCTATTAGGAAGAAGACCCCGTTATGTTAGAAGTAAGTGATGAAAATCACAGTTGTAAACATTAAATCTTTCTGATTACAGTTTGGAATAGCTTGGAATTACGACGGTTTAGTTAAACTAAAGGTAATTTTATTTGATTAGTTAGAAGTTGTTATTTTATTTAAATAAATCCGTTATTGTTATATCCTGAAAGATATTATGTTGCTAACAACAAAGAGCCAATGGTTGGAATGAGAAACTTTTGTTATTAAGATTAGACGATGATCAACCCGACATTGGAAAATGAAGGACTTCAAAGGTAGTGATCAAGAGTCTGAAAATATCATACTCTTCATGAGAGACTTGGAGGTCTTAGGTTCTGTTCTATTTGAAGTTGTGTGCATACTCTTATTAAGTAGCCGACTCAAACAAAACAACTTTTCTGCAATTCGTGGTTATTGTTGGTTTTCGCAGAACATCTATTTGATAAAGTAAACAATAACACTGCAAAAGGGTTTTTGGATTTTAACATTTTACAGTTTAGTAGTCACGATTGAACAATGTAACGGATCGAAACGGAGTTTTCAGTTTAGAAAACATGTCACTCTAACAGCCTATTCCAAATAAAGCACCTACAGGATCTCTGGAAGCCAATTTTCAGAGAAGCTATAGTTATTCTAAGTTAATCAGCTGAATGATCTAGAATTATACACTATTTTAACACAACTTTAGTAGATATTCGTCAATAGATTAGTGGTTTCACAATTCAAACGTGCCATTTTAGTGATGTATCAAAATTTGAAATAAAATCTCACTATATATATATATATATATATATATATATATATATATATATACCGTTTTTTATGCCTTACCTGTAGGAGTAATAATAACCGAATGACAAGAACCAGAACGACTTAGTCCATTTTGATTTGCCGGTGGTGTATGCCCTTGATCATAATGATGATGATGATTGATTGGATCGATTTTAAGATGACATCCACCACTATTTAATAGTGATCTAGAATTTATGCCTAGAAAAGATGTCATTTTGTACATACATGTATAGATATATTTCAATAATAAAGTGTAAAAATAAGGGAAACCAAAATTAAGTATTTCGATATGTGTATTGGGTTATTAGAAGTTGTTACAGTAAGGTTTTCTTTACACACAAGTTATTATTTTTTAAATCACCAACTAATCTTGTCCTTTTCGATTCCTACTGACTGTCAAGTAAGAATGATATTCATAGTTGTAAACATTTAATCTTTCAAATTACAGTTTTGATATTAAGACACATACAAAGAATTAGTAAATGTTTTTTATCTACCTCGTCATCTATACAAGATGCATTCTATTAGATTATGTTTTCTTAAGACGGAGTAAATAAACCTGCAAAACAGTTAGACAGAATATACTTTGATCAGTCTACACATGTAATAGTCACTATAACAGTGACTATTATATCGTAATAATCTGAAATAACTTCAAAAGTATTGTATGAGATGATTATTACAACCAAAAAGTTTCTATTCTTGAACTTCTCTCATGAATATGTATAATATTTTCTATATTTAATGTCTAATACAAATCCATTCTACTATAAACAGTCATTATATATAAAAACATTCAAATTATAATAAAAAATAAGAAAAATAATCGTTATGATGATAAAGATCACATGAAAAAATAATGTCAACTTGTATCCATTAAATTGTACCTGATGAATTTGAAAAAGTATGAGGTGAAGTGCAATGATTGCTCAATCCAAATCGAGTAGGTGGTGGTGTATAACTATTGTAGTATGAAGCTACAATTAACAGAATTAAAGAAATAAGATAATTCATACTGAATAACTGGTTTTTGTGAGTGTAATTCCTACAATAGTTATGTAAATGTAATTAATGTATTACTGAGTCTGAAGCAGTTACTATCGGTAATAAAATAACATTCAGAAAACTAAGAGCCACACTGTTAAGAACCATCGACATCAACTTTGATAGGTGTATCATAAAAAAATGTTGATTATTTCATGAAATGTATTCAACTTTTCCTTCAAATTTTACTTTTAACAAATAATAAATTTTAATATGTGACGAATAACTAACAAGAAAACATCCGGTCACACTTTAAGTACCCCTAAAAAGACTACGTACGGTAGGGTTGAAATAAGAATAAAATTACATGTTCATGGCAAAACATGAACAGATTGAGAGGAAGTATATTTACTTGTTGGGAAAACATAGATGTCAAAGCAAATATTATTTATGGTGAATCAGTCGAAATATGATAAAATTACAGTTTGTACGTTTAATGAATTTGGTACTTCGATTAGTATTTTAGCCTTGAAACAGTCATGCAAATTCTTATTATTAGCTTTCGTGTATAAACTAACGTTGATTATAGTGTCACAAGTGTTACTAAACTGAGTTCATCTAACCAAAGTATAAGATCAAAATATCACTAAGATGGCTCTGATGAATTCTTATAAAAATGGAGTCTGATTAGGAGGATGATATGAAGTTGATATTTGAGAATCTGTTGTTCCTAAAATTTACGATACTTACTTTGATAATTAGCTTAAATTGAATATAGCTTTATGGGCTTTGCTTGGAATCTAAGATGTGTTTAAGTAGGGATTAAGATTTTTAAATATTCTACGTGGCTGGGGAGATAGAAAAATATATGTGTGAGCATGTAACCATGCTTATGCATTAAGTGTGTGAGAATTTTTCAAGACTCTCCAAATTTCCCAAACTACTTCAAGAAATGAATCTGATATTGGACAATCAAACAAAAAAAGGAACTAAACATGTTCATAATTTCCATTTTCGAGTGTGGCTGTAATTTTATTGTATGGGTCTCAAAGGCGTTTGTAATAATAAAGACCTTTTGTTGAGACCAATCTGGATATCTTCAATGAAATAAAATAATTTCTATTGAATATCTAAGAAATTAAAAACCAAACTGATGCATATTTTGTAGAAGCATGTAAACTTGCATGGTTAAAAGAAAATGCAGCCGTCTTAACACTAGTTAGCATGATATTTATTATCACCACTGGAATTCATATTTCACTAAATGACTTCCAACTATAAGTTAACATCTTTCTAAATAGCACAATGATTACAGTGAATATCGTAGTAACTAGAGTACTTCTAAGATTCGTGAGTTGTATTATTTCCTGTAATTAAAGTAATCACTTAATAACAGTTATTCGTGCCAACGATTTAAATCATTATTTATTTATAAAAGTGTAAATGTATGTAAATAAAAACAACATACCACTACGTCCATATGATTGTGGTGAACAGCGTTCATCAAATCCAGAGCTTCGTCCAGAACGAACACTGTTTGCCTTATTTAAATGAAATTTCATACAACAAAAAAGAAAACATGTGTATATTCAAAATAAATGAGTTCATGGAGTCAGTGGTTAAACATGAGGAATACAGTTTTATTTCAGTTATAATTTTAGCGCGTATATAAATCAACAAAAATCGTGATCTGAAAATGATAAATATAGGCTTCTAAATTTAATAATGTGCAGCTTAGGACTACTTTTTTTGCAAAGCATTAGAAAGAAAGCAGATACATGATAAGTAAGTCGTATTTATCAAATAGTTGATTTCCAGCTAAAATGTACAATGACAAGTAAAAGCTTAAATAACACTTGAAAAGGATTCAGTAATTTACGAAATGATGTCACTTCATGATAAATATATTCACAACACATAGATCTCTCAAAGGAACATAATAAGAAACAAACATTTACCTACTGATAATTTCCTTCTAGATGAATTTTCTAGAACTATAACCTGGAACCATGTCTATAGTGAGATTGTCACAAATGCTACCATGGGAATAAAATCACATTCTTACGGTTAATTGACGTAAACCTAGATGCCTCTAATTGAATCTCATGTGAACAAAGCTGATTAGTGCAAGGTAGTTGGAGGTAGTCAGCAGGAAACACTAGATCCAAGTTTCGTGATAGCTTGTATGCGTCGACTAGATGTGCTTGCATTCCTGGGGACTGGTCTAATATAGGACTGTCAAACGCTATCCGAATAGTTCTGTTTAACGTCTTAGACAGTAAAGCTGGATGGTACGAGTTCGAATCTCACTGGAAGCACCATACAAGTTTTTTTTCCAATTCCCTCATACGACTTAATTCACAACACGGCATAATGTTGAGTCACTCAAATAAGAGAATACGTCAAAACCTGATCGATGAAATCCGATCAGTACGAAACGAATAGACAAATAAGATTTTAGTCACCAGTCAATGATAGATTAGTCTTAGTGTTGATGAGTTATACTACATGACGAGACAGCTCTTCCTTTTATTGCATTACGTCATGAAGATTAACTTTAATGAAAATTGTAACAGTTGAATTTGCTATCAGAAAAAAAATACACCTTTACTAATACTTAACTATGATGATCTTTGAAAGTACTTTTTCTCTTGTTTAATACCATTGTTATTTAATTGTCTATTTAATGTCTTCTAAAATTGTTTAATATTTTACAAATTATTTATAAACAAATCAAAACAATAACACAAAATTGATTGAAAATAATACTTTAATTGTTATAGTTTTTTTATTGATGTAAGTGAATGTGTAATTTATAGCTTCCGCAACATTGTTTAAATAATTGCTAAATAATATCCTGACAATACATGAATAAGTATTTAGTTATATTTTGAAACGTTTTATTAGTATACAGTGTAGAAGTTTTGGTGATTCTACGTTTTGTGTGTGTGTGTTGTTTTTTTTAACAAAAAGAAAACTTTCTTTTTACACTCTATTATTCAGTCAAAATAGTTTTAATGTATGTCTGTGTATATTATAACATAAAAGCGTTTTTTGTATTCTATAGAGTAATCTATTCATACTTTAATATTATTAATTGCATTACACAATGAAAAAAAATTCAACCACATGATTATATCGGAATTTGCATCTTGAAAAAATGTGTGCTTATTTCTTTGGTCATAAAGAAATTTGTTTGAGAAGGTGATGAATACCGAAAAAGACAGGTGCATAGCACTAATGATAGTCTTCAAGACTAGTATTCGTACTATTATCACTATTATTATTACTAGTACATAGGCCTGTTAAATGACAAAATACTCTGTTAGAAAAGGTGTTAGTAACAAAATTATATATATATATATATATATATATATATTTATATATATATATATACAAACACATTAAATTCGACAAAAGAATTTTGCTGACGGATGACCACACGGATTAATAATTAGTACTACCGCTAGCTATGTACATATTTATATCGTATGATCATTTACATGATTAGTACAAATTGCGCTTAGAATTTATTGTACAGTATCTATCATTATTTTATTAGATTATTTATCATGGTGAATTATTCGTTGAAGAATAATAAAATAACCATTTTTCATGTCATTAAAAGTAGGTCGGTATTCCACTGCATGTTTTGGCTTCTGACGTTATGCAAATGCATAGTAGTGCCATTTACTGAAGTAAAACTGTACTCGACAAGAAATCTACCGTTTCCTGGTACCTAAAAGGCTTACAGGCACGGCTACAGCTCATGAGACGAAAATAAAGCGATAACATGATACATAATTGCAAAGTTTGCTATTGAAAAACTACTCAATATGCCACTATTCAACTAGTTATAATAAGTATATATCAGTGACATATAAGTAATTTTATTGAAAACAGTTAGAATAATATACCTTTCAGTTTATAACACTTTTTTTATAAATTATAGGGAATTATCAGTGTGTAAACATAGATATCCATTCAGAAGAAGAGTAAATAGCTACAGTAATTTAGCAATCGTTTTAGGTAGACAGAATATTACTGAACTCACAATACAACTATAAAAATTATTATAAAGAACTTTGTTAAAAGTAAACGAATAAACGTTATCCATTTAAAACTGCAAAACATTGGTTGACTACTCATTACGTTAAAACGCTAATACAATTTTTGACGTTTAAATGTTTTGAGATATACATTCAGTAAGCGGTTATTAAAAAAATCTAAATGTTTATCTTCTTCTTTCTGGGAGTCGTCAAATGATTGTATTTACACCCAAGTGGTGATATTTACAACCAGACTCGAATACTTAGGACACAAATAATATTTCGGATCTTCTCGTTGACTCCAAACAAAATAGTCTTTAAACCTTACCATCCTTGTTAGCGGTACATACAAATACAAACCATATGACAAAAGTAAGACCATGTATTCATATGAAGATAATTAATCATTGTAAATTTGACGTCTTTCTTATCTTACTATCTTATACTTCGAATCGGTTGAATTATTACTGTCTTATCCAATCATTAATAACAATACTAAATATCAAAAGTTAAGTATTTTGTATTTCTCGGCAAAGCATTTTCTTACTGAACTTAAGGATTTAATAGAAGCGAAATTCTTTCATCATGTTAATCAAATTTTCTTTTATAGCTGAACACTTCCGTTGAATATACCCGATTGTGTAAAGCAAGAATAACAAACATTATCGGATCAAATGTACCAATGTTCAAAAATAAAATCTTTCAAAAATATTATTTCATGATTCTTACCAATTACTAAGTTTTAATAATAATAATTAAAATTTGTCTAAACAATAACAATTACTGGGTGATTGGGACATGTTTCATGATAAGTAGTAAATATTTGGTTTCATTAATGTAGATTTACGGTATTTCAATCAAACTGAAAGAAGGATCATTTTTGAAAAAAAAACTGAACAATTTATTACACTTCAGCATATTTTAATCATAATGATTATTTGCTAATGATGTTCGGAATATACTCACAATAATTAAAACTTGCTGAAATCAAGTAAATTTAAATGTAACATCTTATCATTAGCATTATTTCATTCAGTTTTGTAAACTAAGACAATTATTTATTTTATTATAGATTAACTGATATTGTGGTGTGTTCTACTGATGTCGATAGATATAAACTATAGAAAGTGAGATGCCTGGCGGTAGAAGGTTAAGAAGATCGAAGAAAAGAGAATGGGAACAGAAAATTATTGGTATGGAAATGAAGGGACAATGAAGTTTGAGATGATTGTTTAACATTTTGAAAATGAAGTATTTATTGTATGGTTCTCAGATTTTATGAAGAGATTCTGTAATTTTGTATTTGAATACATTTGGTTGTCATGCACCTATGTTCGTGTTCACTACAATATCAGCTGATTGTCAGTTAATTTGAAAATAATTCATATTTGATGAATAAGGATTCTGTCTTTGTTTAAACTCATCAGTGTGTTAATTATATATATATATATATATATAATTTCTACCATGACTGTGACAGTTACATTTATTTATTTCATCATCGGACACGTGAATAAATAGGATTATTACTTAGAGTCACATGTCCATGACACTTATCAAAACCATCATTTTAAGTATTGTCGTATGTTGGATGAAACAATTAAAACAAATGCTCAAAATTTAGCTATCAGTTAAAATGAACAATAACCATTACAGAATGATATACAAAAATAAAGGAATGTGAACTTCACATGATAAATAAATAAATCAGTAAATAGATAACATGTAATACAATGTATAGATGGTAATCTTGGAAAATACGCTTTATAAATGCTTCTTGTAAAATGAAATTCGACTGAAAGTGGGGACAAAAGAAATAATATTATCATTTATTTAATTTCAAATAAAACAATATTAAAAATATATATTTGTTTTAATTTAATTGCATGTATCCATAATATAAATGTGTATAATAAAATCCTAAAACTTATAAAGATACATATATGAATGCTATTTTACGGTTAGTTATAAATGATAGTTGATTAAGCAAAGATATATATATATATATAGAGAGTAATTGAATGCTAAATATAAATAAACTATTTAATTGAATTATTCATTTGTAGATATTACGCTTAAAATGAATTTCTAATTAGAATTATAGATGAACTAATTATGAGGACCATGACGTATTTATACATGTACGATTAATTTTAAACAAAAACGTAATCTTAAATTTTAAAGGACTAATTTTGAAATTTTTAAAACGATTCACTATTGAAGGTTTAATATTAGAAAACAAAACATAGATGAAATTATTTTCCTGAGCTACATATCCACATTATCAAGATCTAGCGACTCAAAGTTGGTAATAAGTAGTTCACCCGACATTCACTACTCAGTGCCAATATATTTGCTCTTAGATATACGTTGTCATCTAGACATATTGTGTACCTTGAAAATCTATGAACAAATAGTTTGCTCTTATTCAGCACATTAGGAATAATAGTTATCATTATAATTTATTCAAATCATTCTGATAAAAAAATTCA